ATTTTCTTGGAATTGAAGTTGTCCGCTCAAAAAAGGGCATCTTCATTTCTCAAAGGAAGTACACCCTTGATCTGTTATAAGACACAGGCAAGTTAGGCGCAAGGCCAGCAGATACTCCTATGGATGTTGATCATAAATTGGGTGACTGTGATGGTGAACCTCTGAAAGATGTGAAACAATTCCAAAGGTTAGTGGGAAAGTTGATTTATTTGTCCATGACCCGTCCAGACATTGCCTATTCAGTTGGGGTCCTGAGCCAATTCATGCACTCTCTTGAGAAACCACACATGGAGGCAGCAGAAAGAGTCCTTAGATACTTAAAAATGTATCCGGGGATAGGTCTACTATTCAGTAAACATAATCACCTAAAGGTGGAAGTCTTTACAGATGCTGAGTGGGCAGGTGCTGTGGATGATAGAAAGTCCACAAGTGGGTATTGTACTTTTGTGGGAGGAAATCTAGTGACCTGGAAGAGCAAGAAACAAAGTGTGGTAGCAAGGTCAAGTGCTGAAGCAGAATATAGAGCTATGGCACATGGGGTGGCTGAAGTTCTTTGGCTAAAGAACCTTCTAGGGGAGCTTGGAGTTGCTGTTCATAATCYTATGTCTCTTTATTGTGACAACAAGGCAGCCATAAACATCGCCAGCAATCCTGTCCTACATGAGAGGACCAAGCACATTGAAGTGGACAAACACTTCATAAGGGAAAAATTAGAAAAAAGTGAAATTTGCATCCCTTATGTCAACTCCAAGGAACAACTGCTGATATCTTCACAAAAGGACTTTCATAATCCTATGTCTCTTTATTGTGACAACAAGGCAGCCATAAACATCGCCAGCAATCCTGTCCTACATGAGAGGACCAAGCACATTGAAGTGGACAAACACTTCATAAGGGAAAAATTAGAAAAAAGTGAAATTTGCATCCCTTATGTCAACTCAAGGAACAACTTGCTGATATCTTCACAAAAGGACTTTCATAATCCTATGTCTCTTTATTGTGACAACAAGGCAGCCATAAACATCGCCAGCAATCCTGTCCTACATGAGAGGACCAAGCACATTGAAGTGGACAAACACTTCATAAGGGAAAAATTAGAAAAAAGTGAAATTTGCATCCCTTATGTCAACTCCAAGGAACAACTTGCTGATATCTTCACAAAAGGACTTTTATACTAATGACACAATGAGTTATGTGACAAGCTGGGCATGATAGACATATTTAGCCGAACTTGAGGGGGAGTGTTGTGAGAGTTGTTTATTTTGCTTCTTTTACAGTTGTTGGTAGCATGTTGTCAGCCTAAGATGCTGTCAGCCAGTATCTTTTATTGTCTTGTTATTTGTTTGTTAGTAGGGAGTGGCCAGGGGCATAATTGTAGTTTTCTCTTCTCTTTATATTAAGTTAATATAAATAGTAAGCTGGGCACCGGCCAGCAATTAGTCTTTTGATTCCAATCGAATCTCTCTCTCCCTCCTCTTCTCCTCTCTTTCTTCTCTCCTCTCCCTTCCCTTCTCTCTCGTTTCTCTCTATCGAGAAAGATTACAGTAGCCACCTCTTATGAGGTTGAAAAAGGTTCTAGTTATGAGAAATTAGTGGGAGAACAACTTGCAGCTACTAGAGTAGAGTATGAGAAGTATGAACAACTCATTAACCACTTAGAGTCTACTACTTTAGCTAGTACCTCTTTAGGAGATGGTTCCCTCTGCATATGCCCATTCAAGTATTCGTGTTACTGGAAATCATGCTTCTATATCAGGTAATCGTAGGATCCCTTGGATAATTTAATGCCTTTGACCATATGATTAGTGTGTCCCATTTATTTTCTACTTACCAACTTTTATCTGGCTGAGACAAGATCTCCCTTGTTGATGGCTCCCTTGCTCCTATCTCTAGCAAGGGAAACATTAGAGCTTCAGATACCCTCACGTTATCCTCAGTTCTTCATGTTCTTAAACTAAATACTAACTTGCTTTCAGTTAGTAATTTGACAAAATCCTTGAATTGCAATGTAACCTTTTTCCCTTCTTATTGTGTTTTTCAGGACATGAAATCTCAGAAGGTGATTGGGAGTGGCCATGAGGCAAATGGGATATACCTGTTGGATATGCTTGGACAAAGTCAAGTATCAACTCAGAAAGCTGGTTTTGGTTCTAATATGTCAGAGTCAGCTAGTTGTATTATGTTTTGTCATTATCATTTGAGTCATATTTCTGTTTCTTTGTTGAGTCTTTTGTTTCCAGCTTTGTTTAAGGAGACTAAGTTGTCAAGTCTACATTGTGAGTCATGTGAGTTGTTAAAGCATTGTAGAAACTTTTATTCTACAATTAATAAAAAATCTATAGTTCCTTTTCATATTGTTCACTTTGATGTGTGGGGGCCATACCATTTGCCTTGCATGGGTGGTTATAAATACTTTATTCTATTTATTGATAACTTTTCTTGTTATACTTGACTTTACCTTATGCATTCTCATGCTAAAGTACCCAACTTGTAAAGTAATTTCATGAATTTGTGCTTACCCAATTTGATACCTGCATCAAGATATTCTGATCAAACAACGCTAAGAAATATTTTGAGAAGGATCCTGTTTCATATTTTGAGAGGTTTGGGGTTATACGTCAGAGTTCTTGTCCCCATACTCTACAATAGAATGGGGTGGTAGAAAGAAAATCAACATGTTGTTGAAGTAGCCAGGAGCATTCCTTTTACCTCCCATGTTCTAGTGAAATTTTGGGGTGATGCAGTTATAACAACTACTTTTCTTATTATTTGCATGCCTTTTTCAAGTTTTAGGGTTCAAATATCCCTTTGCCATCTTGTTCCCTGAGGGTGAAGTGTTTCCTATTCCTTTGCGTGTCTTTGGTTGCACATGTTATGTTCATGTTCCTAGCTCTTAGAGACATAAGTTTGAACCCAAGGCTCGGAAGTATATTTTTCTAGGGTATGCCTCCACACAAAAGGATTATTGCTGTTTTGATCTCACTAGTGGCACTCGTTTTGTTTCTATGGATGTCACCTTTGTTGAGTCACTTCCTTTTTATGGTCATTCTCCTATTGACCTTGGGGTTGAATCTCTTGTGGTTTCTTCTGTCCCATTTGCAGTTTTCGTCTCCTAGTTCTTCCATTCCTGCTCCTCTTCCTCTACTTGCTAGTCCTCTAGTTTTCACTACTCATCCTATTGTTCAGAGGTGGTACCTAAGACAAAGGCTATGACATGAATAGGTTGTTCTACCATCTACAATTGAGCCTTAGACACTCATGACTTCTAAAAAGAGGACAAGTCCTTTATCACCTACTCTAAAACCTCCCTTCCCAGACTTGGGCCTACTTATAGCTGTGAGAAAAGATAAGAGGAAATATAAACAACATTGTATTTCTAAACACTTGTCTTATAGCCTGTTTTCCCCATCTTATTGTTCTTTCTTAGCCTCTATTTCTTCTCAGCCTATACCCAAGTCAGTTATAGAGGCTTAGTTACATAATAGAGGGAGGCAATGAAAACTAAAATAGAAGCACTTCACAAAAATAATACCCATTATATTGTGGATTTACCTCATGGAAAGGAACCAGTGGGATGTAAGTGGGTGTTCACCGTCAAGTATCATGTTGATGGCACCATTGAGAGGTATAAGGCTTGACTTGTAGCCAAGGGGTATACTCAGGTATATGGAGTTGATTGTATGGAGACCTTTTCACCAGTTGCAAAAATGACCACAATGAGAGTTCTATTGTCCTTGGTAGTGAATTATGATTGGCCATTACATCAATTTGAATTTAAGAATGCTTTCTTAATTGGAGATTTGACTGAAGAGGTTTATATGTCCCTTCCCCAGGTATGTGTGGTAAGGCAATGCGGGGCAAGGCATGCAAGTTGAAGAAATCCCTTTATAGCCTCAAAATATCTCCACGAGCTTGGTTTGACGGATTTAGAGCTACACTTGTTGATTTTGGCTATACATAGACATAGTCTGACCATACCTTATTTGTTAAGAGGAGAGGTACTTAGGTTACCTTCCTTATTGTTTATGTTGATGACATTGTGGTTATAGGGAGTGATACAGAGGAAGTTCAGACACTCAAAACTTTCCTTAACTCATAATTTGAAATTAAGGATTTAGTGAAGTTGAGATATTTCTTGGGAGTCGAAGTTTCCAAGTCTAAAAATGGCATCTTCATCTCCTAATGAAAATATGTGTTAGATCTTCTTACAAAGACTAGGAAGCTTGATGCCAAACATGCTTCTACACCTATTGATGCCAACTATAAACTTTCAGTTAATGATGGTGAGCTCTTGGAAGACAGAGGAGTGTTCTAGAGACTTTTGGGGAAGTTACTATCCCTTTGCATGATATGGCCAAATATCTCACATGCTGTCACAATGTGATTAGTCAGCTTATGCACGCCCCTTGAGACACACATATGGATTTTGCAGAACGGGTTCTATGTTGCTTGAAGGCAACTCCAAGAAAGGCTATTCTCTTCTTTAGGCATGGAAACATGAATTTAGAGGCTTATATAGATGCCGATTGGGCTGATAGTATTGATGAAAGGAGATCTACATCGGGTTACTATGCCTTGGTTGTAGGGAATATTGTCTCCTAGAGAAGTAAGAAACAGTCAATAGTAGCTAGATCGTCAGATAGACCAACTTAGACAGAAATAGCCATAACTCATATGACTACTTAAAAACTTGCATTACCTGTAAGAATGGCGTGGTTTCACAGTAAGACTTGCATTACATTCTTTTGAGCTAAGATCATAATGATAAATAAAAAACAGCATGTTAATGCCTAAGAAATGGAATACTGGAACCATCCTCCAGAAGAAGTGACACAATTGAATGTGGCAAGGCCTCAATGTGTCAAAGATAGAATTTTTAGAGTGGTTGCAAGCCAGATTTGCATGCCCATACACAACGTTATTCCCTCTACTTTTTGTGAATAATATATGCTATTTTATTACTATCCCTGTTCTACTAGTTGGATTGCTTGCTTTTACAGATAGGTTCGAGCAAATTCTCAAATGGGGCAAGCATCGGAGAAATAGAGGATCTGATACACAATTTCCTGATTATCATTTTGGAGCATTCAATGCGACAGAAAGATGGGTGGAAGGTTGACCTTTTTAATTCTTTCTCGGTTTTGTTTTATCTTTCCTTTTCATTTAGTTACCCTGGAAGGTCTACATGTCCTTTCTGGTTTATTAGCCTTTTATGCGCTTGGTGAATTGAGCTACCTGAATGTTGCTATGATTATTTTTTGTATGTTTAATTGAGTCCTTTCATAAAGTTTGGGGCTAATCACTGTTATGACAGTTTGAGCAGCTATTATTGCAGTGGATACTTTTCCAATTTTTTACCAGTTTGAACTTCTATTTTTAAAATGTTCTCTAAGAAATCTTTGTAATGTAGCATGGTTGGGCTTCCTTGATCTGATAGAAAGCCCTGGCTGAAAAGGTCCTTGTATTGCTCCCAAAGCCAATAGGAACTTCGTATTTTACCCAAAAGTAGGCTCTCATCAACAGTCCAATAACCATGAAAATTTGCTAAGATATTTTTTTTTGTGTCCTTCCCTTTTTAAAAATTTCTTTTATCAGGTTTCTTGGTATACAACTTAAGGTTTCTTGCTTGAAATAAAATCCTATCTTTCTAATTAAATTGACTTGTAATTTCTATAAAGATATTTGATTTTGTTGGAATACTGTAGTGTACGTTATTTTGTTGCATGCAAGGCTGGTTTCAGTTCATGAAAGTTCAAACATACTTTTGTTTCAACTTGTCTTTGGTGACATTCCCCTTTCTTTTTGTCACTCAATATGCCTCATTCATGTTGCTTCGATACTAGACTACTGGTGTAATTATGTTGTCTTCATTTCTATTAATTTTTCAGCCTCATTTATGCTATCTGGTCATATTTTTTCTTGTTAGGACATCGAAGCTACAATTCATTGTGCTGAGTGGTTATCTATGATTGGTGGATCTAGTGTGGGAGACCAACGTATTAGGTATGTCTATATTTCTGAAAAGGTAGTGTATCGAATTTGTATTACTTGTTCTATTCAGCAATAAGAAATAATAAAAGTTAAGGAACTGATAATTAATGAAGGTTGTTAAAGTCTAATTGCAGGGGCAATAGTGTCTTTTCCCATTTGTTTCTTAGTCTTATATTATATGCAACTCTGGGAGTTTTGTAATTTTGCCTGTTATTAGAAGCTTAATAAAACAAATGTCAACAGGAGGTATAAGGCAGTTTGAATCTCTCTATTCTGGACCTCTTTTGTTCTATCTTCTTCCTTTTTCTCTCCTTTTGTCCTTGTCTCAATTGAATCTCTTCCTCATCTCTTTTCTTATTTATTTCAACTTTTCTTCACTTCTTTTTGGTATTTATGACATGGTATTAGAGCACCAGGGCTCGGCTGTCACTGTTCATGTGCCTTAGGAATTAGAGAGCTCGCTCTGTTCACTACAAGAAGGAAAAAGGACCTAAAAGGACTGGTCCTACATCATAAAAGGAGGCTTTATATCCTTCAGTTGTAGCTGTTATGGTGTTTTGGGCGTTCTTCTAAGGTTCCCTCTTGCCACAGTCCAAAAGAGGGACTGTTATGCTGTGTGGCTGGTGTGCCAGGTTTGTGCCGGTGTATAGAGCTTGAACAATGTGTTGTGGTGTGGTGAAAACTCAATTGTAAGTGTGTGAAGTTGTTGGTCTCCCAAGTAGGAGTTGTGTGGTTTCTAGCTTTTCTTTCTTTTTTTTTTTTTCAGTGCTGAACACTAGTGTAGAAAGTTGATTTTCTTGTTGTGGGTGACTAGTGTATTTGTTCAGCATTTTGTGACTTTCCTTACGGTTTCTTCCAGTAGTAGCACTAAATCAGCTATAGTAGTGGAATCAGATTTAATGAATACCCCATTGACTACGGTTAAGCTTAATGGCATGAACTATTTACATGGGCCAAGTTTGTGGAAGTTTCTTTGATTGGATGAAGCAAACTGAAATATATTAGGGAGGAACAACCAAAGAGTGGGCTTGAAGGGTATAATGAACGGGTGCAAGAAAATGCATAGATTATGACGTCATTATGGAATAGTATGGAGAATCACACAAGTGTTAATCTTATGTTCTGGACATGACAGAAATATGGGAGCATGCTAGGCAACTATGCTCTGGATAAGATAATGTCATAGGGATCTACTAGTTATACCAAGACTATTTTATCCTTCAACAGGGAAACAAGAGTGTGGAGGAATCTTATGTTGCCCTAAAAATCCTGAGAAACGAGTTGAATGTTTATCAACCTCTCTACAGATTTGGAGGTGCAACAAGAACAGAGGGAGTGTTTGGATGTTGCTAGATATCTGTCCAGCTTGAGATTTGAATTTGTGGCAGTTAAAGCTCAAATTTTGACTAGTGATCTCCCCTCTATTTCTGAGGTGGTGGTCAAGGTGTTTATGGAAGAGATGTTGCTAGAGGCAATGGCTGGACTTTCAGAGATTGTCGTGGTCGTGGCATGGAAGGAAGAGGTGGTGGCAGAAGTGGTAGTGGATGTGGTCAAATCCAGAAGTGCTCTTGTTGTGGTTGTGGAGGTCATATAGTTAATCTTTTCTATGACGTGCATGGCCTAGTCTCTTCTTGGGCCAATCATGCTTGGAAAGGGAGTCAGCTACTTCATTGCCTTCTCTTAAGGTGTGCACAAAAGTGATGGCCATGTCGGTTGCCAGATGTACTATTACATCTAACCAATGGAGAATATTCTAGGGAGCTTTTGCTTTGGAGTTTAAAATATCAACTATTACCTTGGACCTCAATTCTTCTATCTTTTTTTTTTTTGATCAATAACACTTTCATTAATTCATCAGTAGAAAATTTACAA